GTTGACACTGATAATTTACTACCGTATAACCAAGACATCTAAATAATTGAAACTTTAGAGTTAAAAAAGACGAACGTAAGCACAGTCCCGAAGAAAAACATTGGTGGCACCTATGTGGTGCGAAACTTAGGCGTCTCCAGGTCCATGATAACCGCTTACAACCTTGTCTTAGGTAGGCTGGCGGGAGGAATCTGTAACGAAACGACTAGAAAAACGTTCGGTTGTACAACAGAAACTTCAATCAGTTTCCAGTACCAAAAGCTGCGGTGATTCGGCCATGTATCACGCATGCTGAGTTGTTGCTGAAAACTGTCCTCTATATTTAATCGCTAATCACTTAATTGGTAATCTTTCGGCTGTGAAACCGCTTCGCGGCCAAGGTGTCATCCCACTCGAAGGAAGCAGGGGGCTAAGGATACTTCAGCTTGACCAAGCCTAGACAGAATCAGTCGATATGCCATGGGGACTCCAGCTACAGACCCCCAAGTCAATAAATTCGCGCCCCAATTAGCACATTTGCCGAGGAGCCCAACGAGGTGAAATGTTCGAAACTGAGACCAGCTACGTGGCACGAGATGGCTCAAGTGATTAAAGCGCGAAATTACGGACCGGAAGGTCCATGGTTTGAACCCGACCTCTGTCTCTCGACTTCCCCTTTCTAGACTTGGGCAACCGGGCAGTATCGTAGCCCTCATGCTTCCTGCATGTGGCATGGCAGCTAGGCACCGAAAGGGTGCTACAGCTGAACGATAAAACCCAGGATATATATACATACGTCCAAAACTGTTTCTAACTACATGCGAGGGTCGCACGCAGGTCAATAGGGAAGACGCGAAGAGTTCACAACAATCGTCGTCTTCCTTTCCCCTTGCAAAGTCATAACTTATCTTAACGGGCCTTAAGACAAGAGTTCGAAGTTGGAAAAGTAGTTTCTTTGGAAGGCGAACGAAATTTATTTCTGATACCATGACGCAAATTCGTGCCACCACCGAAAGGCTGTATTCAACTGACAGCCAACTGACCGTCATAGGCACAGGAAATCACCAGCGTGGGAGGAATCCCAAATGAATGAAATATCACAAGTTTCCTAGTAACTTCCAAAGATAACAAATGTCGTAAACGATGGGTGTGTGTATAATGTGATGAAGTCGTCACGTGCCGCTTATTCCCCATATGATCCGGCTAGATCATAAAATTGTAAACGGCGTACGGGGGAGCCTTGGTTGCGGGACTGGTTAGGCTAAGGGCTTTCCGGTTGACTGAGACACGCACAAATTAACACCATCGTGAAAGACAGTAACATCAGTATCGATACTGACGTTTCACTGCCGTACAACGACAAAGTTCATCTAATTATATTTGAAGCCCTATAGTGAAAAGAAAAGAGTGGGTGAGTGGGGTTAGTGTTGACCTATGTCAGGCGTTCTGAGGTGCATACACCTACCTGCACCAAGACATCCTGGAAAGAAACTGACAGTATTAACGCTACTGATATCGATTAGCCGCCACTCTTTGCAATGTCTCAAGCCACGCACAAGTGGGATCACGGGAACCCCATCCTGGAAGGCGTAAAACAACCGCAACACCCAACCTCTTCATGATCCCTTTCACGCCCTTCTGCCAACTCATGTGTTGTGCATCTCGCGGTTTGTCACCCTGAAGGAGGCACGGAGAACAACGCTTGCCTAGGCAGACGGTGTTTCGGCATGTGCAGTACATAAGCGAACCATCGTAGTCGGTGATGCTGGATGTTTTCCCCGACTGAAGTAACTGCCACACAACCGAACGCCGGTTTTCTAATCACCTCGTTACTAACACGCTGACGCCATGCAAAACCAGCCACGCTTTTGAGGCATAGGTGGTCAAATACCTAGAGGTCTCACATTACCTGTCTGCAAGGCCACACAGTCCCTACCGGGTCGAAGTCCCGCTTAGACTCTCACGAGATAACTGTTCGCGTGCCACCGTAAGACGTCCAAGAAGCGATTACACCAGAAGCTTTGTTACGACAGGAATCAAATTAACACCTCTGTGGTTACTGCGTTGTCATGAATATTCTTTGTGCTCACATTATCGTTTTGTACTAACCATCTTTCGCCTTCATTTTCACCTTATGTACGTCTATTCTTAGACAAGTAAAGCATTATTGCGTTATTCATTCTTGTTCTCGCGCTCAATCAGAATCGATATTCTGTTCGTAACAATTTACTTGTCTAAAAATACAATGGAACCGTTGCTGCGACCCAAGTGTTTCGACGCAGATTCTAATTCTCCAGACGCAACAACGCGTTGGAATCATTGGTTCCGAACCTTCCAAACGTTTCTGGGCACTGTCGAATCGCCCAATCTAAATAAACTCGAAATTCTGATCCATTTTGTGGATGCACCTGTATACGTTTATATCGCTGACTGTCCAGATTACGAATCAGCTATCAGTACACTTGAAAAATTGTACGTTCGTCCTAAGAATATAATTTATGCTCGCCATCTTCTACAAACTTGCAAACAAGACACCAGTCAAGATGTTGATCAGTTTGCCCAAAGGCTTAAATCCTTGGCCAAAAATTGTGATTTCAAGGCGGTGTCCGCTATTGACCAGCTAAACGAGTGTACGCGATGCTCTAATCAACGGACTTCTGTCTACTACCATCGGAGAAAGACTTCTGGCTCAAAACGAACTCACTCTCGATTAAGCACATGAATTGGCTAGGTCATTAGAATTGGCCCACAAACAAGCTCAGTCATACTCACATAACCAGGCGATATCATTTTCTGCGGCTGCAGCACCTTTACAGACATCTACAGTTA